ATATATATATATATATATATATATATATATATTCAACATTCAAGTGTCCTCATGAAACATGTAGACCAAGTTCCACAATAGCCTTTATTTACTTAAAATACACTTTTATAACACATATTTGAAGATCTCATAATTACTAGTAGAAAGGTAAAAACCCCGAAATCTCCCAAATATCTAATATAGGTTAAAACTTATAAATATGTAAAACACATCAAGAGATGTGTTTTAAGAGACTAAAATGAAGTATTTTGACATATATAAAAGTTTAGAAAAGTTAGAATGAACTCACATTGCTTGATTTTGGTATAAAAAAACTAAAAACCAAGAAAACTCTAGAAATGGTAATGAGATCTTGAAGCTTGAATACTTAACTTTAATGATAGAAACCCTCTTGAAAATTTTAAAGATTTGCCTTAAATGCCTCCCAAAACCGAATAAAACGAGGTGGGTGAAGATGGGAGTGACGGAGAAAGATATAGGTGAAATAAATATGGTCTTGTTTAAAAAACGGGCATTTAACTCGAGCTGGACAAATGTTGTGATCTACCCGGTAAAGAAAGTCACAGAGTTAGTTGCACGTCCCAATAAAAACACCCTAGACTCTAGTGAGTCACACAGCTCTAGCTGCTTGGTCATGTGGCTAGCCGTGGGGGTTTCTGTTTGGCATACAAGCTCCAAATCTTGGTCCTCAAAACCTATACATAAACATGAGTCATTATCATCACATAATCAACAAGTTTTTCGTTGCAAAAGATCAAATGACTCATAAACGAAGGTTCTAAATTTGAGGGTGTTACACCCTCTACCTCCAATGCATCGACCACCATATCACTATTGTCAAACTACCACCCACCCCGTTCATCGACCACCATGCCACTAATGGTGTCGTCACATAAACCACCCCACTCCCGACACCACCTCACCCAGTGGGTATGAGGTGCGATGGTTGGGGTGTGGGGGTCCACCACCCCACCGACCAACTTAGATGCAAAAGGGGGTGGACAGGGTGGAGGTGTGTGGGGGCGAGGGTGGTAATTGTGATAGCGATAGTATATGGGGTCTAACAAGTAGCATGTTGGTTAGTATGGTAGGGCGGGTGGGGGTGACAGTTGTGATGACAACAGTAATGGCCTGGTAGGGTTGTGTGTAAGGTGGGGCGATGACACCCCCACCCCACTGACCACCATGCCACTATTGTCGT